GCATTTGCTCAAAACTTCCCAACTTTCAATGGTCATAACTCATTTAATTTTTATCTTTTGAAGGTGATCTTTGACTTTTCGAAAATCTCAAGATATCCTCTACGACCTATATGTTAATCACTTTTGCTCTTGAAGACTTTATATTGATGTAAGTTTCCTTGACAAAAAGTGTCTTTTTGTTGACTTTTGAAATGACATGTAATGTATTGGCTAATATCTCTCAAATGATGCAATTTTTGGACTTGAGCTTAGAGTGGCAAAGTTGTAGAGGGTTGAATTTCCTTCAAAATTAGCTTTGGTTGGGGAAAATATGATGAAGCATGTGAAAGTTATGCTTGGTCAAAGTTCAGTTGACTTCTCCTAAGGAAACCCTAATTTGGCAGATTTTGACTTTTGATGATTTGAGGGCTTTTCTTGAGGAATCATGATCAACCCTTGATCAAATGATGGATATCACTTAAAAAAATTTATGTTGACCAAAAATCTTAAAGTTTAACTGTAAGTTGACCATAATTGACTTTTTACCCAATACAGTTGATTTTTAGTCATTTGAGCCATTGACTGAGCAAACTTGTGATGCAAGGCATGAAACTTGACATGAGCATTCTTGAAGGCCTATGGAGAACCATGAAAACCACTTGAGACCTTGATAACTCAATCTTCCTTATGAAACACAAAACCCTAGTTGTGGACGCATTGCTTAGGAGGAGAATTTTTCTGATCAACTATTGAGCTAACTTGAGCAAATGAGGATCTCATGAGAATGTCTTGATAAAAAATGGGAGGGAAAATTTTGGGGTACAACATGGTAAATCATTATATCTTTGTTTTATTTATCTAAGGTTCAATTATCAAAACACTCTTTTCAAAATCCGCATTATTTACCCAGTAGGTAGTGATAAATATGCAAATTTGGCGATATATCTCGAAGCTTTAGTTAGTTATCTATTTTTTCAAAATCGTATTATCCACCCCCTAGGTTGCGGTAGGTACGCGATATTATATGATATAGTTCATTGTTCCAGTCTCCAAGCAACATGAATCGTCAAGTGGGTTCTATTTACCATCTAGGTTGTGATAAATACACAAATCTATGTTATACTTTACTATGTTAGTCTCAAGCATTAGTAAGATATTTTCAAACCCATATCATTTACTCCATAGGTTGTAGTAAATATACGGAATTTGCGATATAACTCATTGCATTAGTCTCGAAGAAGCAATAAGTTATCTATTTTTCTGCAATATAGTTCATTGTGTTAGTCTTCAAGCAATGATGAACTATGAAACTGTGTGTTATTCATCTCTAGGGCTGTGATGAATAGATAAAATCTATGTTGTAACTTATTATATTAGTCTCAAAGTGTTAGTAAGTTAATTTTTAAACTTGTTTTATTTATCTTCTAGATTACGGTAGATACGCAAAAGCTATGACTACTTTTCTAGGTGTTGACGAGTTGTCTGCATCGTCGTATCTAGGTCAACTATACTATTTGCTTGGGCATGGGAGAGTTAACTGTGTTACCATTGTCTATCTATCTATCTTTTGGGGTTTATCTTTTCTTATCTTTTCAAGTCTGTAGTCAAATTTTGGGATCTTCCATTATTTAATAACCCTTTGATCCGAATGTGTGAGACCTACATATTCTCGCACCCTCGATCGAAGAGAAATTAAATAGGGGCAGTTGTCATATCCAAAATTTGCCCCTCTAGTGTTAATAATCAATTCGATTTTTACTAGTTATTTTGTTATTCAAAACTTTGGTGCTATTATACTTTTTGTTGTTACTAATTTGTATTTTTCGTATTATTAGTGGTAAAGGGGGTTAAGTTGGAAAGAGAGGTGTATTTTTCTTTAGAGAGGCCCAAATTTGCTAGTTCAATAGATCCATTATTTTGTTAGGCCCAGTTCAATTAGGAAGTTGATCGTGGTCAACATTTAGTCTTTGTTTTTTTATATAATCATCATCATCATTGTTTTTTTAAAATGTGTTATTTTCTAAATAATAGTATTATTAAGAAGGGGTTGACCGGAGTCAACTCCCTCTGATTATAACTTATTTTATATTATTTTTACATTACATTAATAATATTATTACTTCCTATTTTTATTATTTTATAGTATTTCATATCTTGTTGACCAGGTCAACATTAGGGTAAAACCTTAATTCCCAAGCAGCACCCAATCTTTTATCTTCTTCACCAAGATACCTAAGCCCGAAGTATCTAATTTTGAACCAAATCAAACATTGGAATAAAATTTGTTTTTTATTAAATAAGAAATGAATTACATATACAATATGATCCAGATACACTGTACAGATCGAAACCCTAATTCTAATTACAAACTAAAATCTAATAAAATCTTCTAATTCTTAAATCAAATCTCTGAGATTTATTCAATCTAACCTAAAACTGCCAATCACTATAACTAATTTCTGAATCTAACAATTCCTAAAGGCTATAAATTGAACCCTAAGCTATTGGAATCGAGACACGAAAAACCCTTGGAGATTCTTCATTGCTTCTGATAATCCCTTATACACTACCAAAGCTCTTCATTGTTTGGAAACTTGGGTTTCATGGCAGAAACCCTAAGTTCTTTAGAGCTTAGACTCCAACTCTGGTACCTACAAAGAGAAAGAAGAGGGAGATTAGAAGAGAAGATTAAAGAACTGAGAGAGGAATTTACACAAAGATTCATGGCACGGACGTTAATGCTCAATATTTAGCTTTTAGGGCTTATTGACTGATTGTGATTGGTGTTTTGATTTTGCTTAACTGTGTGATTTTGATTTGAATTAGGGTTTTTCTGGGTTTGATTGGGGTTAGGGTTCGTGTTTAGATTTAGGGTATGTAGACACTAGGGTTAGGGTTCATCAAGTTAGCATTTCTGGGTTAGGGTTCATGTTTAGGTTTAGGGTTTTTAGACACTAGGGTTATGGTTCATGCAAGAACCCTAGGGTTCATAAGGTTTGTTGTTATTCTGGGTTGGGTTGGATGAAGATCTTGAATATCTAGGTTGGGTTTGCTTGAAGATATGAAGATCCCGGTTGAACTTCAAATGGGAATCAAAGTTAGACGGTGGTTTGTGGTGGTTCTATGGGCTGAGGCAAAATCTGATGGCCGGAATCCTAGAGAGAGGCCAGAGCCTCTCTCTCTCTCTCTCTAAACTTTTATAACATTATGTTTTTTTTTTGCTAGAAAAAGAAGGGAGAACGAAAAATGATCCTGGAGCTCATAATTTTGTTTATATAATACTCCTTTCGCTCGTTGATACTAGACACGTGGCTTCACGATGGCCACGTGATCAATATACTTTGACTTATTCCATGTGTTAAGTTACCATACATCCTCAGTCAACATTCCATCTCGTTCCTCCATTTTGCATACTCTGATCCAATGCCCCAAGATTAAATCCTGGGGACCTTCTAATTAAGATCAAGCACCAGGCATTATATTTCCACCATAATTCCATGCTCCTCCATGCACATGGCTCTAACGGACCTAGAGTCTATATTAGGCTCAAGCCTGTTTTATTTACACCCTCTTTTTATTACATTAGTACAAATATACACCCCTTGCGCCTTAATGGATTCAAACATAGTTCTGAGCTTAAGCCCTTCATATTTACACCCCCTCCTGGTTAATATTTACACCCCCTGCGTAAATTTAACAATTTATTTTATTTTATTTTTATATAATATCTCATATCACTTTTTTTAGCATATTGCATTAAAGTATTTTTGTGCATTTTATAATAAAATCATTAATAAATAAATATTGGATTAATATTAAAAATATTTTATATATTTTTAATAATAAAAAAATAATTGTTTATCAATTATTTTCAAATACTAACCATATTTTCTATCAATATTCAAATATTTTTATAATTCAAACTTTTTTCCTCAAATTGCATCATGCATTCTAAGACAACTAACCAATCAAATTTAACACTTTCTCTACTAACTTAATTTGAAATTCAACTTTATTTTCAAAAGAGGATTGTGGAGATATTTTCTATTAACTGCGAATTGCGTCAACAACTACACTATTTTCAAACCTAGATAAGTTTCAAGGATAATTTCAAACATTTCCACAATCCATAAAAAAACTAACCAAACACATTCGAACTATGAAATTGGACATTGATTATTCATAAGGAGATACGTAGGCACGCGGTTAAAACCAAGACGAGTTCACAACTAAAAAAATTAAATCCTTTTTCTTAAATATATGGAAACAATAACATGCAGTTAAATAGAAAATTTTCATTTTATCCTTAAACCTAAAAGAGGAACCCCTTGAGAACAAGGGAGATGAAGTGTGTCTAACACCTTCCCTTCATCTAACTGACTTATGAATTTAGAATCTCTAACAGAATTAGGTTTATCCGTTATTCTCCCGTCCTTAGGACAAAAATTAATGGTGGCGACTCTCGTATTTTTTCCAGTTACGACAGGTGACCCCCGTCATCCCCAAAGCTTGCACTATGATTTATGATATCGGTACTAGGTGGAGGTACAATGTATCGACCAATTTCCCAAGTATTGGTTTAAGAGTCACTTTTTGCTGGGATGTAGCTCTCTCTATATAGTGAGAAGGACCTTTGTGAAGAGGCTCAATATCAAAAAGGTTGATTGATAGAGTTCACCAATAAAATTTAATATATATATTTTATGGGGAGCTACCTCGATGTTAGAAACAAATAAGAAATGTTTAAAGTGTCTCATTAATATCCCGCTGCTGGTAAAAGCTCTTTCTTGGGAAGAGACAAGAGTCATTTTGGTAAGCTTCAAACGTTTTAAGTTTTATGATATTTTTACCCTGATTGCCTTTGATGATTACTCTTCACTTATTTTTATGCAGGGTGCATGGGTAATATGGAGCATTTTCAGTTTCAAAGGCGGGGAGTATGGTCGCACAAAAATAATGTTGCCACATGAAACCTATCGAGTTTATCGAATGTCCTGGGCCATAGTGCTCGCTCCTTACTAATGGGATCTGGCTCCCGCTCTGCTGGAATTCGTCAACTCCCTCCTTTGGACGAGGACTGCACTTACTTGGTTGGCATATGCCGGCCCGTTTTTGAGGAAGAAATGGGAAAAGTGGCCAGGTATTCTCGACATGCTTTGACTATTATGGCCCTAGATACATCCGACCACAGTGATGCTTTTCTGTTCGACTGGCATCATATTGAAAAGCAGCGGGTAGAGGAAGCATTTGTGACTTGAAACATCACCGGTATAGGTACCTGCGTGAAGTAAAGAAAGCTTCTACCTCTCTCTTCGGAGTGAAGGATGCTTTGATTCCCTTGAAGTTTATTGGATCTCTTTTTTACCAGGTGGCTCATCCGATGAGGACCATATAGATGAAAGATAAAGATTTATCCATTGTTCGAAGAAGTCAGGAAGCTGCACACAAAGAAATGGAGTTCTTGCAATCCCAGAATGTTTTGTTAGCTCGAAGATTGGTTGAATGTACGAGATTCACCCTTGAGGAAGTTTTGCAGTCATTCAAAAATGCTTTAGACCAAGTAGAATATTTCTACCACCCACTGAAACTTTCCATGGAGGAAATCCAGCCGGATCAAGCCATCATGGATGGAAATATCATCTTCCTGCGAAAGTAGGCATGGCAAGATTCTAGTTTTGAGATCGTTTTTTAACAAGTATTTGTACGATAGTACTTCATAATGAAAGAATATGTAAAAATATGTCTATATTGGACGGACAGGCCTTTTGTTATATGATTAAGGTGTTTTTGTATGATCCAGAATACATGGATTCAATTTCTTAAATTTACAAGGTCTTCCCTCGGGGTTGATGTAACATCATCATTTTACAACTTTAGTATGATCCCAGATATAGAGATTTGGTCCTTATGAAGTTGCGAGGTCTTTCCTCGTGGTTAAATCGAACAATAATGTGACAATGAAAGGAAAATAAACTCAATATATTTATGATTTCTGTTTTATAGTATCCAACACGATCTTAAGTGCAAAGCTACAGATATTTTGACCTTACAAAGTCTTCCCTCTAAGTTTATTGGACATTCATGGCCAAGGGTTGGTTCCTCTTCCCCCTTCCAAATAATAACATGATCATAGGTAGACGCATGGCCAACCCACAAGGACATATGGAGTGGCTAGCTTATAAAAGAGGGTTGGTTATTATTTCCTATGGGGGGTTGATTGCTTTATTCGTACGTGCAAAGAGTCTCTGACAACACCCTTGACTTTATGGGGGGAATTGATTTCTTTTTCTAAACATGAAAAATGTCTTCGGCAGCACCCTAGATTTTATATGGAGGAATTGATTAATTTAGCCGAACATGCAAAGCATCTCCGACAGCACCCCTGACTTTATGTGAGGAAATGATTGCTTTAGCTAGACGTGTAAAGCGTCTTTGATAACACCCCTGACTTTATGTGGGGAATTGATTACTTTAACCAGATATCAAAAGCATCTCAAACAAAACCTCTAACTTTATGTTTCAGTCATCGATCTCTTTAGTCGTACCCCTGATTCCATGTGGCTATGCATACTCATAGAGAAAATAGTGTCTTAGAAAACATCATTTCATTTTGGTATTAGTAAAAATATACGTATACGATTGAAAATTACTTAAAGCATAATATTTTATATGATTGAGTAATAAAAAACATAACCAGGCGGGATGACCGCCATTTATTTGTTTGCTCTGCATGAATAAGGAGATGTTGATCGAAAATGACGGTAGATCAGAGCCTCTGATGCAGTGGAGTGGGATAAACATGCAAGGTTAGCACTACAATGCTCAAATTAGTATATGGAGAAGAAGAGTGAAATAAAGTTGTAATTAAAACTTTTTAGCATGATTTGGCGCCTTATATATATATATATATATATATATATATATATATATATATATACACACATACATACATACATACATATATATACATATTGTAACACGGTGGGAGAACCTGACTTGAGATGTTTTTGCGTTTGATCACAATTGTTGCGGATAGCAAGAGTCGCCACTGAATTTTCTTTTATCCAAAAGGAAAGGCTGAAAATAACAGGAAAGACCTTTAGAGATGTTTTCTTGAGTTCGGGGGGTAGGTTATGAAAAGGGAACGTATTAGACAGTGGGAAAGAATCAGAAGTTCTGTATTATGTTAAAAAGTGAGCAAAAAGTGGGAAGTTCTATGTTGTGTTAAACAGTGAATGAAAATCAGAAGTTCTATGTTGTGTTAAATAGTGAGGGAAAATCAGAAGTTTTGTGTTATGTTAAACAGTGAGTGAAAATTAGAAGTTCTATGTTGTGTTAAACAGTGAGTGAAAATCAGAAGTTCTATGTTGTGTTAAACAGTGAGAAAGCCTAAAAGTTTTGTATGTTAAAATAGTGAGGAGAACTCAAAAGTTATGTGTTATGCTAAAACAGTGGGAAAGAAAGACCCAGAAGTTCTTTGTTACACTTCAATTCCTTCCTTACATTAATCAGCTCATCAGCAACTTATCCAGTTCTTAACAACAACAAATCAGAAAGATAAAAGCACAGCAGTTCATAGAAGTTCTAATCCTAATCCTGAGCCTAACTTTATTCAAGAAGTTCTGATCAACCATTTTTCTACTTATGCAATGATATGGACAACATTAATACTATGATATTTACATATTTAGTGATATTCTAAATGAAAAGATTCAAAGTCAAAAAGACTTATCTTGAATCTGGGACGTGTGTTTGGGACTTGAGATGTTGCCTTCATATGTTCTGGAGTCAGCAAGAATAACAGAATAGAACATGCTAAGTTCTTTGATTCAAAGGGAAGAACAAAGGTTTTGGTTTTGTTTAGGAATTTAGGGTTCACGAATGTTTTACTATTTTCTTTACTCTCTTTGATAATTCTCTCTTTCTAAAAGCCATCCCCTTGAACGTGTGATGGAGCAACTTATTTATATATGAGTTTGTTGTGGTTTTGGGGGGAAAACAAATGGGATTTAAACCTTTTTGGCATATTGTTCCATTTCTTTTTAAACACAGTTTTTGTATACTAATTTGGTGTTATTATGGGGTTTGAGAAAGTGAAGGCGTGGACTGGATCAGCAGCATTTTAGAGTGTTGTGGCAGCTGGTTGCAGAACTGTGCTATAGCAGTGCAGCAGGCTGTTCAAACGAGGTTTTAAGATTTGGTGATGTTCTGATCATAGAAGACCGGAATGAGATTCGAAGGGTGATGTTCTGATCGAAGCATTGAACATAGCCTCCATATGCTGAAGAGTCATGTTCTGATTGAAGAACACAATTTCCATATGTTCTGACTGAAGAGTCATATTCTGAACCGTCTTTGCATATTTTGATTGCGCTTGCGTGGGGGCTGGCCCAGAAGTTCTGAAGTATCATATCCTCTTAATACTTATAAAATTTTCTATATGTTTAGAAATTTGATATTTTCAAAGTAATTTCTGAGTTTTGATTTTGATGAATTAATTTCATGTCTTGATGAAATATAATTGTTGAAACTTGATTTTTGATCCCCAAAATCCAAAGCTTGACATTTCAGTATGCTTTTGACCATTTTGCCCTTGTGAATGACTTTCTTAGAAAATTTTAATCCAAGGCTTGAAACTTGATAGAAGCAAACCTGAGGGTACAGGATGATCCTTTGAGAAATGAGAGGGCGAATTTTTGTATACAACACACACACACACACACACACACACACACACACACACACACACACACACACACACATATATATATATATATATATATATATATATATATATATATATATATAAGAACATAATGAACTAGCTATTTGCTCACCGTCCTTTGAGGATGATCGTTGGATGTGCTTTATGGTTGAGATCTATTGGGATCACAAGGATAGTTATCTTTGCTAAGTAAGAAAATTTTGGAAGGATGTGAGTGCATTTTCCCATTAGATGTTTTGCATGATGTCAAAACTAGGATAACCTTAGCATTTTTTTATATTGAACGGTATCTCTGAGTTTTTATGTGCTCCTTTGCATTAGGGATCTTAGAATGCATTTAGAACATGTTTGGAAAAGGCACAATGCATTAAAAATTAGTTTTTACATGAAAAACAAGTCTATGTGCTAACACATATGATGTATGAGTCGACAAATATGGATCAATAATTAAGCCTTTAAAGCCTATGTCTATGTGTCGACACATACGACCTTTTAGGTCGACACATGCTGAAATTTTTCATCTATGTGTCGACACATACGTGTTTCAGGTCGACACATGTACTGCATTTTTAAATCATGTAAAGATTTTGTCTATGTGTCGACACATGACCTTGGATAGGTCGACAAATACCATTACATGTGTCGACACATGCTATAAATTTTCATAAATTTTGCATATCCTTTGAATCTCTAAGAATCCCCTTTTGCCTCTAACTTGCACACATATAAATACTTCATACATGCATCATTTCCAACAAGAAGAAACTAAAATATACAAAAATTGCTCATCATCTTCAACCTCTCATCTATGCATACATACAAACAAAGTACACATAATCATTCATTGTTTGGGTGCCATCTAAATTTGTGTTGATAACGTTCATTTTAGGTTAGTGTAACCTAAGATTGGGCTGCTAAATTTTGGGGGTTCCAAATAAGAAAACCTAGTTGGATTTTTTCTTCAAGATCATTAGGATTTGAAGGGTTTGGACAAGAATATGTAATTTGGATTAGATTGAGTGAAGAGCTTTGAATAACGGCGGTTCTTGCAAAAGAGTAGCGTGAGACAGTGGGTCAAATTAGTAAATCTTGGGATACGATACATCCTAAAATTGGATTCGATCGAGTGAAATCTTGGAAGAATGGTGGTTCTTGCAAAGGAGTAGCGTGAGATGGAGGATCAAATTAAAAGTATCGGGTGACAACAATTTGCAATTTGGATTCCGCCGAGTGAATGCTTTGAAGAATGGTGGTTAGATCAAAGGAGTAGCACGAGACAGTGAATCAAATTGGTTTGTTGGGTGACTTGATCAAGATGAGATCAAGGGAAGAGAAAATGTTAGCATCAACATCAAACTTGGGTTTTGTAGGATTCGGTTCCTACATTTCTCTTGTAAAATATAATTGGCAAAGTAAGATTTATTATTTCAATTCCATATGGAATTGGGGGAAGACGTAGCCATAGCAAGGACGATTGGTAAATTTCCTAAATAAATCCTTGTGTTCTCTCTCTCTCTCTCTCTCTCTCTCTCTCTCTCTCTCTCTCTCTCTCTCTCTCTCTCTCTCTCTCTCTCTCTCTCTCTCTCTCTCTATATATATATATATATATATATATATATATATATATATATATATATATATATATATATATATATATATATATATATATATATATATATATATATATATATATATATATATATATATATATATATATATATATATATATATATATATATATATATATATATATATATATATATATATATATATATATATATATATATATATATATATATATATATATATATATATATATATATATATAATATATATATATATATATATATATATATATATATATATATATATATATA